GTCCCGCTGGTTACCGGTGCAGGCGCGGTCCCATCGTGACCGGCTGCCCAGAGGTGTGTGGGAGCTGGCAGAGGGTCCGCAGCGGGCGGGAGCTCCGCAGGTGACAGGTAAGGGTGCTCCCCGCCTTCTCCCAGCTCAGCGCTAAGGCAGATGGCAAGCGAGCGCTCTAGACCCTGAACTGGTTTAGTGTGGACTCGGCAATGTTAGGTTAATGGTTGGACTGGATGATCCTAAAGGTCTTTTCCAACCTAAACGATGCTGTGATTCTAAGACCAGAATCTCTGACGGAGTTCAAGAGAGAAGGGATGGAGAGCGAGTGTCTGCAATGGAATACGAGTATGGAAAGGACAGAGCAGTATCGTTGTTGGTTTTGAACGTGGTAACTTGTGTAAGCTTCTTGTGGTAGCAGACCAGGAGCTGGTGGAGGGATATACAGGAGAGAACTTGTCAGGTCAGCTTGACAGGGAAACTAGACAGATTCCTGGGTGGTGGTCATCTCCTTTCAGGTCATAAAAACTGTGTAAAGCTCTGGGATGGTGGTGTCGTAGCTGTGGTAGGAATAGGGACTAGGGGCAGAACGTCCCTGGTTGAGAATTGCTGTGACTTGGGCGTGGGGTATTTGTGCCATGGGGTAAAGCAGTGCAGCTGAAACGGGCTGGAACAGGAAGGTGTAAGGGCTAGCTGTTGTCTCTGATTTCTGGTGCCCGGCCGGTTGTTACAACCACCAAACCCAGCAGCTGTGTGGTAGACTCCATTCCTTTTGATGCATCGACAATACCGGAGCTGCACCTCAGCCTTCTGTTTGTTTTTTTTTTAAAAAGTTCTGTCACCCTTTACCACAAAGATGGCTTATAAATGGAAAACAGTGCCCGTAACATCATTTAATCTCTTATTTTTGCACAACGTAAACTTGAGCTCTTATGCTGGCGCTACAGGAGAACTTCATGGACTGGTGTGGGATGGGGTGACAGCATTTCTGACGTGGATTTAGTTGAGTGCAGTGCAATATTGAAAGTCGAGTGTCACGGTGTCCTTCAGGAGAGAGCAGATGTCGTCATCTGTCCCGACAGTGTTGCTGGGGAGTGGGGAGCCTGGCAGCACCTGGCTCCTCGGGAGGGTCTGCCTGAAGTGCCCCTTGTAACCCTTCGTTTAGGCTGTCACAGCTGTTACCCGGTGCCAAACTCACCTTTTAAAATCCTCCAGAGTAGAATGGGGCGTATCGGCTTGTTACAGCTGGCTTTCGCTCTAAAGCAATTAGTTACGTATCTGCCTAAACACCGATGCACGCTGTACTCCAGACACAATTGTTTCCAGACACTGTCTTTGCATGAGCTGCGTGAGCAGCGGCCTGATGGCTAGGGGAGGAATGCAGTATTACCGAGGAATACGCTGCCTTCCTTTGACCTGCTCGGCTGAAAGCTTTGGCAGGTGAACCGTAACGCAGGTGTGCTGTGTTACATGTTTTCACCTTGTCTGCAGTGTCACTAATTAGAAAAGGATAACATCACAGCTGCTTATCAGTCCTGTTGCTGAAAGATTTCTGAAACTCACTGTTACTGGCACAATGACCTTTTTGACTTTTTCAAATTACCTTCTAGTTTGTAGTTTGCTTATATTGAGTGACTCTTACAATAAATATGTGTATACATGCACATGCACACGTATTTGCTACCACAGTTGTTTGGAACCTTTAAGGAAAAGTATTTGCTCTGTGCAGGAAAGTGTTCAGCAGCTTCCTGCTATGTTGGGTTTTTTTTTTTCCTGAAAAACTTTTTTTCTTTCTCTTTGCTTAACTCTGTGATGTTGGGTCTTCTCTGTCTTTTTGCGTTGGTGTTCCCAGTCTCTCTGTTTCTGCTAGCCATCTGCTGATTTATTTCCACTGTTGTTCAGGTGTAGACTGTTTCCTCTGTGCTGCTGCCAGTGCAGGATGAAACTGAATTTGGGGATTTCTACCTTTTGCTTCCCTGGAACAACTCTGGAGTAGGTGTCTGGAACAAATTAAAAAAAAAAAAACCAAACCCCACAGGGTGCCGATAGCAAAGATCAACCTTAGCATTCGGAATACTGTTTTGAGATTGATGAATAATAACTGAGACATGAAGCTGACGGCAAAAGCTCCTGCCCTAGCGCTTTCCAGAGCTGCTCGCTAGCAGGCAACTGCTGTCGCTCTTTAAATTTCTCGGTTGCCTGGGAAACGGAGCGGTAAGTTTCTGTGGAAATGGGAATTTCGGTCCCTCTGGCTCGCGGCTGCGAGGGCTGGGGAGCGGCCCCGCCGCGAGCGCAGGCTGGCTGGCTTGTCGTGGCTTTGCGCTGCGCAGGCGGTTTGCTGGGGAGGCACTGCCTGCTTGGGGGGGGTTACTCGGGCAGAGTTTCGTAATAGTTTCATTTCTTTCAGGTGATTCATCATAGAGCTAACAACAATTTTGTAAAGTTGCTCCTTCGTTTTTGTGGTTGCAAGCAACTACTTTGCAGTTAAAACAATTTTGTGAAGATTAATTTTATCTTGCCCTCCACGTAGGTCAAATAAGCTAGACGTGCTCTTATAAAGAAAATTTGGCTCCTGTAACAGTTCCTTTGAAGAGAACTGTAGCCCTAGATTTAGGAAAAAATAGTGATTTTGAACATAGAGATTTTTTTTTAAGCTCTATTCATTCCATATATATATATAAGAGAAAATAATGAATGAGAGTACCTACTAAGGATTCTTTCTTTTCTAACCATGAGCAAAAACTTAACTGTTTTTTTTCTTTTAAGTGGAAGTGACATTCCCAAGATTCATAACTTTATATGTGTGTGTGTACATATATGTGTGTGTGTGTATATACACATAAAGATAAAACCTTTAAATATATTTTCTATGGGAATTCTCAAAAAATTATTTATCTGGACAGTGGGGTAGAGTTGTTGTTCAGCTTCCTTTCATTATTGACACATTTCTTTAGTTTCAGTGTCTGGAACATCACTTACAAATGTGAAACGATTAATGTATAGACCTAACGAACTGGCGGTGCCACAGGGGCTGAACAGCTGGAAAAGAAAGGTCTGGGGCTCCCCAGGAAAAAGAGAAATACCCCGTGGTCTTTGGTGCGAGCAGGGAAGGAGTAGGCTTAGTGTCCAGGTGTTGTCAATGTCTTTTGCTAAATGTCTGTAGTACTTGATATCCTCTGTAACTAGGAGAATACACTAGTTAGTTATACACGCTAACACGCTTTATCGATCTTCTTTTAAAGGGTAGTTCTTAAGAATTGTGTCTTTCTCTAGTTGATTTTCTTCCAGCTGTTGTCAAGGTCTCTTTAAAAAGTGGAGTTCAAATATGCGAACCAACATTTTTTATTAATTAGCTGAAGAAATGTCCCGAAATGTGTTGGATAGATTTTTTTTTTTTAAAAAAAAAGCTGCATTAATCAAAATTGTTTTCAGTATAAAGTTGACTTGCTCAAAAACCAACATACAAGTATCCCCTTGAATTGAACTTGATTTTTGGGGCGACGATGGCCATTAGAATTTTTATTTTATTTTATTTTAAATTCACTCTGGTTTTGCAGGGCAAAAGAAATCTGATCAGGCTTTGCTGAACACTTTCACTTTCGGGTGCACCAGCCTACCTCCATCAAGTGAGAGCTGTTCAGAGCTGATTTAACTCTCAAAGAGCCAGGGCCGAGTATTTAGCTGCTGACTTCAATCAGGTTAGCTCTGTGCCTTTTGCAGGAACAATGCCGCTTCATTTATTTATTGTAAATTGTTTATTAGTTAGCGCTGAATTTAATCCTCAGTGGCTTTCATGATTCCAAATGCAATTTAAGGTTTTATTTTCAAAGGAGATAATATTTAACAATTCAGTTCCTTTTAAGTAGATACACTTCACATAAATCGGACTCTGTTAATCTCGGTGTCGATGAGAAATGCTGATAGAGCGATGCAAAAATATGTTAATGCATTAAAAGGATTGGGAGGGCACACCTGAATAAAATAGCCTCCTTAAAAACATCTCCTAGCTCGTTATCTTCCCTCCCAACTCAAAGAACGGTTCGGTAGCACTGTGTGCAGCTGCCTTAGCCCAGCTGCGTGTTACTGTTTTCAGATTTAGAGTTAGACCCTAAATTGAGAGTCTTTGATATTAAATGCTTGGCCAATTTCTTTTTGCAGTGTAGCAAAGTCTACAGAGTTGACTGGAGCTGATGAAGCAGACAGGAAAGTGACACAAAGATAAGGAAAGTTCGTACTAATGTCCCCATTTTGGTAACAGAATGAAAAACAGAATTGTGATTTGTCATGGAAACTGGCATTAGACTTATTGTTATTTGTGACTTTACGGTGTGATTTCACTAAGCTGGCAGAAAAACCCAAGGCAACGTTACAAAGGATGGAAAATGAAAGTTAGGTTTTTAGTTTTGTAATTAAAGGAACCCAGGAGTAACACCACAAGTCTAATTACTGGTAGTGGTGGTGTATTTAAGGGCCATCGAGCTAGAATCTTGTTTGTGCCAGAGCCTAGAGATAGCTTTTAGTTAATTTGACTGCTTAATACTCCAATGAGTATTTACAAAAGTAACATTTGAAAAAAGTTAGGGGAGGAAAAAAGTTTCTGTACTTACTGCTCTGTGCTTATGTTGAAAATGTTACTCGGAGTGGGAGAAAACTTTCATGATTCTTAGGTTATTTAGAAACTTTCATCACTCCCCTCTACTGTTTCCCACTGTAAGAAATCCCTACTAGCAGAGTGCTGCTTTTCCTAGCTTTTTAAGGCAGAAGCTGGAGATGGGTGAACACTGTCTAGTCACTCAGATCGTAAGAGCAGGTCATAATTTGCTGAAATCTTTAAGCCACTGCTCGTTTTCATTCTGGTTTTGTCTTTTTTTTCCCCCTTGGCAATAAATTGCCAACGTTACTGGTCGTTAAATGTCATGCTGAGGCACTTAGGTAAATAAAACGATTTTAAATGAGTTGATTGTAAAAAGAGATTAAACCCTTTTTTTCTTTTTGTTTTTCTTTTCTAGGACATGCATCAGCTTCAGGAGGAATTAACATGTTCCGTTTGCTATAGCATATTTGAAGATCCACGCGTTCTGCCCTGTTCCCATACGTTTTGTAGGAACTGTCTGGAAGGTGTTATTCAGCTGTCGAGCAACTTTCCCGTTTGGACACCCCTGAGAGTTCCTCTGAAATGTCCTAACTGCAGGAGCGTGGTTGAAAT